TTGTTGTAGATATTTTTATAGGATGATTGCAACAAACAACATTTACTGTAGGGATGTCAGAGCCATGTATTAAAATTCCCATACATGTATGTAATGTTTCAAAAGAAGAAAAGAAGATGCTTTCTTGAACTTTATTTGTTTATAATTTCTATTTATAGTACACTATAAGGATGGACAGATTCCTTAATTGCACAGTTCATAGGTTCAAAACTGTTATTCTCTCTTGATAGATCTGTTTTTCCCCTATGTATTGTATTGGATATTGAGAAAATATATTATACTTTATTTTTGTAATATGTTATTTTATTGTTATTTTGTGGTTATTAAATTTGTAGTAGTAGTTTTCTGATCTTTTTCTTTTTAAATTTTGTTTTCAAGTGTGTTAACCCCTACAATCCGGATGACTTTACAGTCCAGTCATGGAAAAATCTGGCTCGAAGGCTGGGTGACGTAAACAGGCCGGGTAACATGAACTTGCTATCATGAGCACAGGCCAAGGTGACAGAAAAGATTCACCACAAGTGCACAAACTCTTGTGTGATTAGACTTATTGGGCACTTAGAAGGGGGCTTTTTAATTATTCCCAAATAAACAAATGTGGAATGTAAGGCGTGTAAATCATGACTGGAAGAGAGCCGGCTCCAGGGAGGACACCATATCCATGCTTTGCACTGTAGTCCTGGCTGGTGTGTCCAAAGGCACAGGTTTTATTACAAAAAATTGAAAATCATGAAAAAATAAGATATATGACACAAACAAGCAAATGTTCCATATATTTTTTTTTCTTGCATTGAAATATTTACTAAGAGAAATGATATGGAGATGCAAGAAAATAAGCTGTTACCATCAGGATAAAACAAATCAAAAGACAAATAAGGACATTGGAAAATCTAAAAATGTTTATACAAAATAACTTTGCAAAGAGTAGGTCTTGTCACCACTCATGAGTGTTCGCACTTGCCCGGGATATTGGCCACGTACGTAGCCCACTGCCAATATTTTTCAGCATTGTGATTTCCATGATACAGCTGGATCCAATGGGTTAACTTTTAGACCCTTTCATCTTTTCATATTTTTTATTTATGCAGTAACTTCTAACATCTAAAATTTTGCCTCTTGTATACTGTTTTTGAGCTGTTTTTGTATTGTCCTTTTTTTTGTTTCTGTACCAACACAAATGATATTTAGAGATTTTTATTTCATTTTTAAATTTTAGAAAAGAACATTAACCTCGAGATACGTGATCGCTGGGGTCGTGTTCCTCTTGTGTATGCAGTACTGGGTAACAATCAAGAAGGAATGGACCAATTGCTGCGTGCTGGGGCTCGGCCAGATGCTGTTGATTCACACAAATGTACTCCACTACACTTTGCTGGATATAAGGTGTGTTGTATGGGTGCCTTCTATTTTCATTACATATTTTTGACTTTTTCTATTTTTGTTGATTAATGCTAAGATATTTGGTACTTTGGTTCTTTTTATTTGCTACAAGTTATGTGAAAGTATAGCATAGGTTGTTCAAGGGAACCTGTTCTGCTAGAATTACTGGGAAATGTTTATGATAATTAAGTGGTGATTATGATGTTTATATCAGCAAAATCTCAAGCAATGACCCTAACTTTGTTATTTTAGCAAAATAGAGCACCATATGTATAAGGACTCTGTAACAAAGCATGTGTTAAACTATTTAGTCTACACAACATAGAGCAGGCTAGACCACACATGATGTAAAAATGTCTACCAATATGTGATTGGATGTCATTCCATCATGAAAGGGTTAACTTGTTCATCTCCTTTACTTAGCATAGAATGTAAGAGAAAAAATGGAATGCTTGGATCATTGTAATAACTTGAATTCATGTTTTTAATGTTTTATAATCCTTTTCAGGGTTACTTAGGGTGTATTAAGGCCATCTTACATGCAGTAGAAAGCCGAGGACTCCCTCTCATTGATAATCAAGGTGGGCTGTGGTTGGCCCAAGATTTGCGAGGCGTGACACCTCTTCACCATGCAGCACATCACAGCAACAGCAAAGGCCTTCATGCCTTATTGAAATATGCTGCACCAGGAACCTTGGACACTGTTGATCACAAAAGGTAGATGTAACTCCTTATAAATATGTAATTATGCCATAGATTTTTGTTCATGTTCATTTTGTGACAATTAATGCAATAGATAACTTGCGAACTGAGAACTGCAGAGCTGTAAAATATGGCCATTGTTATGCAATGCAGTAAAGGACAAAATATGAAGATTTTTTATGCTTAGGAATTTTGATACATACCTCAGAAAACCCTGTTGCAGGTGTTGCATGTCCTGCCCCAGGCTACAGTGAATACTCCTTGTCACAATTATTGGAAAAGTCAAAATATAATTTCAGAGGACCCCATTACACTGGGCAGCTGCATATGGCTCAGAGGAAAATGTTCGACTGCTGATAAAGCATGGGGCAAACAACCTTATGCCAGACCAGGAAGGAAAAACACCCCTCCATTGGGCTGCTATAAGCAAGGCTGAAAGTGCGACAGCATGTGTTCGTACACTAATAGGTGCAGCTCCTTCAAGCGTGAACTGGCAAGACTATGATGGGATAACTGCCTTGCATTTAGCAGTTGCTGAAGCAAGAAAGGATATAGTCGATGTTATACTCTCTGTACCAAAATGCAATGTAGATTTAACAGACAATCATTTCAGGACAGCCCTACACTGGGCTTGCAACAGGTTTGTACTTCTTTGAATGAGTAGAATAGAGTTTTAATGACCTTTAAAAAATTTAACTTTGTCTGTGACTGAATGTAATAACTTTGGTAAAAAAAGGTGTGTACATTATGGAAAACCTTATAATCTGTATTAGTACAGCCATCAATTACAATCATAGATTATTTTCATTAGTGAATATAAACCATATTTCAGAGGACTGACAGCAATAGTTAGCCGATTGTTAGAACGAGGAGCTCATTTAGGTGCAGTTGATGTTTATGGAGCAACTCCACTGCATTATGCTGCACAGCTTGATCATGCTGATACAGTGGAACTGGTAAGAAGAAAAAATTATGTTATACACAAGTAGATATTGGTTTGACTAAACTTCCATGATTCTGTAAAAGGAACTTATATCACTGACCCATTTTTATTTCAGTTGGTTAGGCGACCATGTGTCCGGGATAATCCATCAAAAGAAGGTCACACAGCCATGTTGTGGGCAGCAGCACGCGGTGCTGATTCAGCCCTCACAGTAATGGCAAGACATGGATCATCCTTAACTCAGGCTGATCCAGGAGGATGCACTGCCCTGCACATTGCAGCAGGATCAGGTCACGTCTCCACTGTTGGTGTCCTACTGCGCCTACGTGCACCGATTGACATATGTGCTAATGATGGCTGCACACCTTTGCTTCATGCTGCACAAGGGGGCCATGCCCACATTGTTAAATTATTAGCAAAAGCTGGAGCATCTCTTGATCATCGTGACAGCGAAGGTCAATGTGCTCTGCACCATGCAGTCCTTGGTGGACACCTCTACTTGGCCCAAATTCTCATAAGAGCAGGTACAAGCAGTCAGGGTCATAGGATTTTTGCTTATGCACTTCTTTGCATAGACAGATTTATAAGTATTCTTATATACATGACTATACTGTTTGTTTACATGAATAATTTCATTTAGGAGCATATTTTTAAAATGGTAAATGATATTTAAAGAATGATGAATATTTTTGTGCATGTATAGGTACATGAATAAGTTTATTTAACAGTTATATTATTTGATTCTACTTTTTAGGTACATCTGTAAATGTACGTGATTACTCTGGACGTACTCCTCTTCATATGGCAGCATATAGAGGACTGAGTGACATTATGTTCCTATTATTAGAAAATCGAGGTGATGTAAATGCCAGAGATCATCAGGTAAGAGTTTCCATTAGAATGTTTTCTTTAGAATGTGTTACCATTAAGCATATTGTCAGTGTTCTATATATTTAAGCATTACCATATGTAACTTGATAAATCACGAAATTGATATGATGAATTTGGCATTAAAACCTGGAGTGCAGCTTCTTTGCCAACTAACTTTACAGTAATTAAATTGATGTTTAAAAATATCAGTAAAGCATTATAATACCTTAATTGGAAATCCCAGGTAGAGGGTAATATGGAGCCCAGAAGTAAATACATGGTAATGTTTATAAAAACAGTTTCTCAGATCATATTAATGATTCTTAACAGGGTCAGAGTCCATTACATTGGGCAGCACAAGAAGGCCACTTAGGAGCTGTTAATACACTACTAGATTTTAGAGCATATCCCAACTATACACAGACCACAGATGACAGGTGAGGAATATGCAATCTTTGGATAAAGTGTCCCTTTGATAACTCAGGATGTAAGGTAAATATAGGGATATTGTTAAGCAGAATGTTGTGATTGATGTGAAGAAAATAATCATACTTTAAAGCATTTTGCATATGAAAAAAAGATGAAAAGCTAATAATGTGCATTTTTTATTCTCAGTCATATGGTAATATATATATATATATATAATATATATATATATATATATATATATATATATATATATATTTATATATATTACCATATATACATATATACACACATATATATATATATATATATATATATATTATATATATATATATATTATATATATATATACCATATATGCATATATATATATATATATATATATATATATATATATATATATATTACCATATATGCATATATATATATATTATATATATATATATAATATATATATATTACCATATATGCATATATATATATATATATAATATATATATATATATATATATATTACCATATATGCATATATAATATATATATATATATATACTATATATATATATTATATATATATAATATATATACACATATATATATATATATATATATACATATATATATACTATATATATATATATATATATATATATATATTATATATGTGTGTGTGTGTGTA